AGATCTTTTGTTCATACATCACAGGCAACGTTCGAATTTTTAGAAATACAAAAATTTTGCAATAAATGTTACTCCATTCAGCTTCTTGGAAATGATTTTCGTGGAACAGTGGCCGCAATCTTAAGAACTTAGAAAACCTTTCTTTTTTTCGTAATAGTGAAAATTAGATTTTCATATTTTAAGGGAAAAGGACAATGGACAGATTGATTCACAGCAATAATTAAGAAAAATTGCTTTCATACAGAGCATATTAAATACTGATTTATATTCATCGACAGATCTTCATACACATACATACATAAAAGTATTGTTCTAAAAATAGTTACATTTCTATGAGCTTTCTACATTTCCTATATTCAACTTTCTACATTCTGTTTTAAACATTCATTAAACACTTTAAGTCTTTAAAACATTAAGCATTAAACAAAAGCATTTAAAACATTAAGTCTTTAAAGCATTCTGTTTTAAGAAATGTAGAAAGAACGAGAAAAATAAATCTAAAACGAACGAGAATGCTACAAACAAACCGAAGTTGACAGAAGAAGAGAAGAATGATAATGGAATATATCTGCATGGCATAAAAACTTGTTTTGGTGTCTCATAACTCACACTTGAGTAATTGGTTGTCATCGGGAGCGGAAAATAGTGATCATTATATCGGTTGTACATGAGCTCTGGAGTGTTATTCTCAAACTACTAAAGATGACAATTTCCGATCATAAGGCTTGTATTGTAACACAAGATAATGATCTTCGTTTTCCGCCTCCTCTTCTCTGCAAGGTCTGGACTTGCCAGAAAAGCATAGCGTCTTAAGCGACTATCATTTATTAAATAAGTAAAAGCTCTTTTATAGATACTCGTAATATTGGAGCATTACAAAACATTGTAACTTGTTTGAATAAATTAGCTCAAGATGAAGGCAAAAAAGGGTATCTGAACGAATTCCAGAAAAGGCAAATACTATTTACTCCAGCATCAGTGACATCAGCTGTGAAGCCACTGAAGCTATCGATAAGCGCTGCAAACATCGAGGCAAAACATCGTCTGCGGAAAAACAATTATGGAAAGAAAAGATTAATCTCAATAGAAATGCAAGCATATTGAAGCAGATCGCCAACTCAGAGCGGAAGAACATTGCATAAAATGTAACTGCTGAACTTAATATGCATATAAAAAGCACAATTTCGGCTCAAATAGTCCGAAAAGAAGCGCATAAACAAATTACCTTGCTGTTGTGAAAACCGTCGTCTCACCGTCGTCAGATCGAAACTGGAGCACTGTAAACAAAAACAATGCCAACGGTTGGAAAAGTGGTCGTCTGATAAATCAATCACAGACTACTCTGTATCTCAGGATGTGTTTCGATGTTGAGAACAAAAAAGAAAAACTTATACGGTTTTCCCACTACAGTAAGTGATAAAATTTCATCATCGCATTAATGATTGTATAATGAATTTCAGCACCTCACATTGAGATCATTAACTTGGAAAAGAAGGAAGGCTATCAGTTATTTTGGAATCATTTTGGGCTACCATGTAAATTCAATAGAACAGATACTGTTTACCACAGTGGTGTCCTCCTTTCAATATTATGGGTCAATTATATGGTTTGAAGAATATGAGGAAGATACTGCATTTTTCCTGACCCCCATATTCACTAGAGTTATACATCATGCAGGCATTCTGTTTCTTTCTATACATTTGACGGAAAACAGAAGAGCCTCTCGTATCCTTCCTTTGGCATCTTTTAATACATTATTCTCTACTTTTTCATGAAAACTGGTGCAGCATATTACTAGCTATCATTTGAAATTTGTATAGTCCATTCTAAGGAAGATTGAAACTATTTTAAATGTAAAAAAATTGTTCTTTACATACGAAAAAATTACTTTCATATGTAAAGTACGTAAGATCCCTTTTTAAAGGGTTTGCGTTGCACCGGATAATTCCTCAACATGATTAAGATTTTGAATGTGGAAATCGAAACCTTCCAGCACCAAACTTGTGTCTTTTTGTACAAACTACCTTCCAGATCTGCTTGCACAAACATTTGATTTTGAAAGGTATGGATTAAAACAAGTTTAAATTATTAACATGCTTATGTTCCAAATGTCACTGTAAATAAAATTTAAAAAATTAATTTGATTATTTTTGAAATCAAATACAGACTTCGACCAATGATACTATAGCTTTTGTGAACTTTGCTGATACATATTTCCTTCAGACATTATTTTCAAGTTGAAGTTTTTAAAAAATAACATGTCCCAAAGTAAGTTTTATAGATTTAAATGGTACGTATGAGATTTCTTTATATGGAAATGTTTATTTTTAGAACGATCTCTTAGCACATTCAAACCATGAAAAATTTTATAACAGCATTTGACTCTTGAAAGGGATTTATGAAGACATCAAGTTTTATTTGAATTTTTTACTTCCTTGTACGAAGTGAAAAGGAAGTATTGTAATCGCGAAAAGTTTCAGGCAGCATATTTCAACGAAAATATCCATTTCGACTGCTATGGAATGTAATTTAATGATGTTTTTGCGTGACATCTGTAGTAAAGACAGAAAACAAGACTCTTTTCCTCCAAAAAAAATTATAAAACTGCTTTAAAATTAATTCTGAAGAGAATTTTTCGTGGCGTCTGTACAAATGTATATACGTACGTATCACGCATAACTCAAAAACGAGTAGCCTCAGAACGTTGAAATATTGTATATGGACTGCTATAACATGTAGATGTGCTCCTCGTATTTTGGTTGCAATCGGCCGCACTAAAAGTATATAAATATATGTATATATATATCCACTCTGTTACTCGGCTCAGTTATCTCAGTTTTATTATTCTTATATGTCTGTAAATTGTGCATATTTTGCTTTAAAAAATGATTGAATTATGTTATTCTTATCTTCCGGTTAAGGTTTTATCCCTTTAGTAAATATGTATGCAATAATTTTAGAATTATCAACAATTTAAAAGTTGTTTAAGTGCCGCTAAGCCTAATAATTTTTTCCATGGCGGCCATTTCTTGTTTACATTTGAAACAGCAGAATAGTAGATTTGTTGCCAATCTAGAGAGACTACGCTTCGAAACAACAAAGATAACGCCTTCATTTATTATTGCGAATTAAATAATGCTTAATCCTTTCTGGAATTTTTTCGAGGAAATAAGTGTTTAAGATTTACTTCGTAATTTTAATACAGATATTTTGAGTTTTTATGTATATTTGCCTTGTCGCGAAGTGAGAACTGAATTAACTGAATGAGAAATACTAAATCGTCTGTGAAAAACTGTTTTATTTTTGTTTTGTTTGCTTAATTTCTTTCATACATCGTTTTAGATATATTAGAGTATTTAAATAGAACATGTGGCAACAATTAGATAATTCTTCAAATGATATAAATTTTGTACATTCTGAGTTATAATATGAACGAAATATAAGGCTGCTAAGTGAACCTAGCGCCAGATTGTCGCTATGGTAAACAAATGTAATGAATTTGAAAGAGTGCATTTATTTCATTGTGGTTTGTGCGCTAGCAACAAAGTATATTTAATTCAATCCAATAAGTTTAGATGAAATGCAAAAAAAAAATGCGTATAATTTAATATTCCGTACAAGGAAGTCATGTGGTGTACACATCAGATTTTTTATCTCTTGTGCAAAGCATTTCAGTTTCTTATTTCATTGAATGAAAAGCAAACAAAAATATTGGAATGTTTGCTCCCTTCTATCATTTCTAAACTAGAGCACAGAACTTTATATGTATTTTAGTAATTACAAATGCATTCAACGGAAATGAGTTGTAAAAAACATGTATGGTATTAAGCTTTTAAAGATGTTTTCTGTAGTTATCAAGGCACTTATTTCACTAAAAAAAACTAATATTTAGATTATACCCTCATAAAAGTTCTTGGGTTGCATATAGAAATATATTCTGAACCTGTGTATTGAGATGATCATCCTGTTTAAATGAATTCCAAGCGAAATGGAATAATCATATAATAATAGTGCGTAATAAATGAAAGAAATCGTAAAGTGACTTTTTTCCGATCATTACACATTTTCTTAAATACGGGATATAGGGTAGATATTTTATTGGTTAATAAACAGGAACTATCTGGGAGTGTCATCTGTTAACTTAGAAGAAAGAGTACGAGAGCTGGAAAGCAGTAAGAAAGTTCATTTACTTAACATCCCTTGACCACTTACTTTTGATTTTCAAAATAAAGTATCTTAATGCTTCGATCTTTTTCGATTCCGAAAAGATGTTCACGTTCTATGTTCAAGAACTTTAGTGTGTGGCTTTCAGTTCCTCTACTGTAATCTCATTAATGTAAAATATCTTTTTATTCGAACTTTTGGTCTTCTAGAGTCAAACATCAAACTCCGTTTTCGTACTTTAGGCTTTTTTCAGTACACAAGATCAAAATCACTTCCACCAGTTTTTTTTAGAGATATCCATTATCGTTACCAATATAATATTGGGATATTCTAAGGCTCAAAGTCACTACATACAACTTACTTTATGAAGAGTAACGGAAATATGAATGGTTTTATAAATATGATCACAAAGTCTTCCTCATATATTCAAGAAACTTCAGTTCTTGTATCCGCGTAATAAGTATTCTAAACTTCTCAATTAAAATTATTCTATTCTAAATTAAAAATCTAGGTATTATCTAACGAAAAGATAAAAAAAGTATTTTTTCTTCTAAACGTAATGCAGTTTTATTTCCAAAATTTTTATCGCTTTGTATATTTAATAAAATTTTGTTTTTTAAAATAACTTTCTACTGCTAATTATATTCTATCGAAATCTTATATTTATGGCAAATCCAAATGATATAAAATTAATTTAAATTAAATTAAATTATTCACCCTCAGTTTGCCTTCAATCTTCACTTAATTCCTCAAATTTTACTATAGCTCATTTCTCTCTGCCTTTATATGGTAACTGGGAAATAAAAAAACAAATTAATTCTTCTTTCCAGCTGGCCTCCATGGGGTGTGGTTCCAGCAGAAGACTGAGAGCGGTCACCCCAATCCATAGCATTCATTCTCAAAGCAAGGATATGGTACTACCGGTAGCTTGGGTGTCCCATGTCAAGAAGCCTCTGTCTTTTTCAGCGAATGCCTCGGCCCAGACTGAGGGATGTTCAATGATGTTAGATAACAACGTCCAAACGGATGTCGAGTTAACACCCGTCATGAGCTGGGACACAAGAGACGTCGAAACTCAAACTCCCGTCGATGAAGGATTCGACAGCATTGACAGGATACTTGCTAAAGCTGACCAGTTTCTCATGATGCCCTCCAAGTATGGATCTGAACGGTATCTCCCCGAATCTGTGGAGGTATCTGTGCAGACAACATACAGTGGAGCGGATGAGTCCACACAAACAGAAATTCCTTCAGAAAATACGCAAGCAGTGAAGGAGGAGAGTTTCGATTCCTCTTTGACCGATATTTCCAATAAGCAAGAAGATGTCGATCTGGAAGAGCGATTATCTGAATTGACTTCCAAAATGCTATCTATTGAGTCACAAACAGACCCTCTGAGTAAAGGTGAGTAATCAAATTATATTATATAAGGTTAAAAATCTTAGTGGCATGTTCGGTATTTCATTAAATTTTGGTAGCATGTAAAAGAGTGCAGAAAATGCTTTAAAATCTACCTGTAGTTTATATACATCCTGAAAATAATGTATTTACTCTTTATCATGAGAGGATAAATGATGATGATTTCTGTTTTCCTTTAATACTGCGTTACTGTCTTTCCGGATATTCACTGAATTATAAATTTACTTGTACTGACAACATCTGTAACATACTAATTCAGAAGTCAAACAACAAAAATCAGCGTTATATTTACAAAATTTTCACGGGACTAGTTTCGATGGTTTTACCGAACCACCATCTTCAGCTGCAAAACCGCAAATGAAGAAGATAGGAAATAATGATTAGATAAGATAAGAAAGCCTGGACAAGAATAAGCAAGTGGCGCCATCTGTTGGTGAAACCAGAACTAAAACATAATTTCTTTAAAGGCCGAAGGCAAATTTGGATTGGAATTAGGATCGTTAACTAGTACAGAAAGATTTTTATGTATGTGAAATGCCTCTAGAAAATCCAGTTCTCCAATGGAAGATGTTTCTTGAATAATTTTGGCAGCAGAAAAACTGAATGTGTGGTTTTCGGACCAACAATGTTGAGCAACAGAAGACTTCTGTGTTTCCTTTTTTCTAACATATGCCTCATGCTCAAACACAGAAGTCTTCTGTTGCTCAACATTGTTGGTCCGAAAACCACACTTTCAGTTTTTCTGCTGCCAAAATTATTCAAAAAACATCTTCCATTGGAGAACTGGATTTTCTAGAGGCATTTCACATTCATAAAAATCTTTCTGTTCTAGTTAACGATCCTAATTCCAATCTAAATTTGCCTTTAAAGAAATTACGTTTTAGTTCTCGTTTCACCAACAGATGGCGCCACTTGCTTATTCTTGTCCATGCTTCTTATCTTATCTAATCATTATTTCCTATCTTGTTCATTTGCGGTTTTGCAGCTGAAGATGGTGGTTCGGTAAAACCATCGAAACTAGTCCTCTGAAAATTTTGTAAATATAACGCTGATTTTTGTTGTTTGACTTCTGAATTAGTATTTATTCGGCGTGTTATTGTGTCTTAATCTGTAACATATTCAGGTAATCGATAAAAAATGACTGTGATCATTAATTTCTTAAATACTGATTCTAGATGCCGATTTTCAATTACAGATTTTCATAATATAACATATAAATTTTTATAAAAATAGATCTGCTCTGTAGAATGCTTAAAAATTGTTTTTCTCCATTATTCGTAAAGCAAAACTTTGTATTATTAAAACATTCACCTTTCTTTAACGAGTTACACATTGAAATATTCCATGCTGTTAAAGATTGCAATCATTTTATTAAAACACTCTGAATACAAGAGTCACATTAAAATTTTACTTAGAGGTTAAATTCCAAATTTAGAAGTACCAGAGCCCTATGGTAGGCCATAGGCACAAGTAAATGACATTAATTAAATGAAATAATAAATAGTGAATACTAAGATTAAATAAAATGCAAATAAACTAATAAAATTAATAATTTATGTTAAATGATTAATAAATATTTAAATAATGAATTCAGCCAGAGCTGATCTTATTTAGGGTTCCAGGTCAAATTTAATCAAAGTCTGAAAAGTTCAGAAATCAGATACCTATGAGCTCTGGCCAAATTTAAGTCCTATTTTCACCTTAGATTACTGTTTTCTAGAGCCCATGGTCACATTACGGTCAAATGTATTAATCATGTTCTGGTTTAATAGCTAAAAAGAAATTAATGGAAAGCTTCAGAGAGCCCAGTAAATAAAACATTAGTCCTCAGATCAGATAGCCACGGGCTCGGTTCCCAAAGGGGTACATATCTTTACGAAATAAGTAAAGAAGTGAGATCTATACTTGAAAGAAGTGGTCAAAAACAGAAAGTCGAAATTAAGAATTGATGAAATTTATGAAAGAGAAATTAAGGCTGATTATATGTATTTTCGGATATTTTAAAATTTGCAGTTTAGTTCAAATATCACCAGGGGTTGATCAGGTGATAATGCTACCAGCCGGCTGATCATTTAAAGCAGATGGACCATGAAAGCAAAGAGTGCATGTTTAGAAACGAAAATTTGTTTTTCCTCATGCAAAATGAACAATAAGAAGATTAAATAAAAACCTGCTTTATTCAAATTAATCGTGTTTCCTGCAGCTATACTTACAAGTCTTCTTTTACATAGAATCAGCAACATGAGGCTATAGATCCATCTTGTATGAACTTTGTCAATAAGATCGATGAGGCCAATAATGTTATATCGAGAGTTGTATATTTAGCAAGTTTACGATATGTAACACTATAACAGGTGGTATTATTGTAATGAATACCAAGAAGAAAAGTCTACAGTAGGTAAATACAGTAGGCTATATGGAGAGTTATTGCTACAAATATGAACTGATGTCTTCTTGGATCTTATTTTGGTTACACCGCTTCTCATATCATTATTTCTGAGATTCGTGTAATCTAACTATTTTACTTTCAATTTTACAAAATGTAGGATGTTTAAAATTTAAAAAATTTAAATATCTGGAAGGCTGAAAATTCTATCAACTTTACTTGGGGAGATGATATAACGCTGTAATTGGTGCAAGGTTACAGAAGGGCAAAACTGTTTAAATGTAGAACCGGATTTAAATTATTTTTAGACTTAATGCATTTATAAAATCCATATTTATAAAAAAAAGTAATAGTAGTATCACTTAGTGTTGTCTAATTTTTGTAGTTTTTCAAAAACGTCTGTTTCCCATAACGTATTCATCGGTTTCCCTGAAATTTTTATGGAAATTTATAAAATATAGTGAATTTTATCAGTTTTTTATTTGACATGATTTGTGTCTGAAATTTAAAAAACAGTATCAGTTAAGAAATTTAAGTTCAATTAAGTAATCTCCAAGAGTGTATTAATCTTTTTTTCAACTAGTGTACTTTATAGTTGAATAGTGAATATTTTAAACTAATATAAAATAATTTATAATAAAATAGATTTTAAAATGAAAATTCAGCGTTTTGAACATTTTTTTGAATTGCTACTAAAAGATATAAATATAAATTTTTTACGAGAAATACACTAGATACCTTTCTTATTTGAGAGAACTAGCAAGCAAATAATGATTAAAAATTTTTTGGAGAAAAACACTTCTTTGGTATAGAAATAGTCCTACTAACAAATTACAGTTATGCCTTCTTTCTGTCAAAGGTTACCGAACATACCAAATTTAAAATCACTCTAAATTTTTATGGTATGTTATAGTAAAAATGGCAGATAGGAGTCAGGAAAATTTATTTATATGCCTAAATCATAACCCATATCTGAAGAAAGAGCTTATTTACAGTATTATTAATGTATGCATTACAATGTTAGTGTATTACCTGGTGGGTATGCGCTTAGAAAGAGCTCTTTTCAAGATACCAAAGGTACAATACTCCATAGGTGAAACTCCAGGCGATTTTGTAGGAATAGGTTGTAAAGGTATACATGCAATACCTGTGTTAGTCTTCATTTTTTCAAGTAACAAAATGGTACTTCTCGAAATATGATTTGTTCCTTTGTCTTGATAAAGTTTCACTCTTTGAAAGTCATCGGGATAAAGATATCTAATTTTCTCTGTAAATTTTAGACGTAAAACATTTCTCGATAGTACTTTGAGTTTATTTCAACATTTTTCACCCGCTCTTCTTATTTTTTACCTCCCGTTGTCAGAGAATCCTGCGACAATAATAAACACTTACTGAAACTTTCTTTACATTCCTTTTCGATATGAAATAGACTTTTCTTTTATTGCAGTCATTTAGGTAAACTCATGCTTCATCAAGAGTCACAATATACCGGGTGGCCATAATTAAACTGACAGTTGTTCACAGTGTTCTGTAGCGCGATCTATTTGCGAGAAGGACGTCACATTTTGTAGGAAGATTAAACAAGACGGGGGACGAAGGATTCCGTGAAAAAACAAATTAGTTCCAAAAGCCACCGCTAGGGGAATATTTGGCGATGTGTAATAGAAAATAGAGTGTTACAAATGCAAATCAATACGTAAACTACCTTTTATTTTGCATTCAAATGAGGTTCAATGTGGCTGCCGTTGTTGTGGACCACATATTGCATTCTGTGCACAGTATGCACAACAGCAAAAAGTGACATGTCTGCAGGAATCTCCCGTACAGTCCGTGATATGTTATCCTTCAACGTAGTCAGGTCCTGGACCACTCCTTGATAGACCTTGGACTTAGGTAACCCCATAGCCAGAAGTCGCATGGGGTAAGATCAGGCGACCGAGGTGGCCATGCAGTTGGAAAGTAGCGGCTACTGACGCTTTCTGTTGTGAATTTCTGTCGTAGCATCTGTTGCACCCGTACAGCAACGTGTGGAGGGGCTCCATCTTGCATGAAAATGATTTCCCCCCAGGCATTGTCTTTGCTGAAGTGCCGGAATGACAAAGCTGTTCAACATGTGGCGATATTTTCTCTCCGGTAACAGAACAGGTTTTCCGGTCCTGTCGGGGTAATGTTCTCATAGAAGAATGGACCTACGATAAATTCCGCTGTGAAACCCACACCAAACATTTTACTTTGGTGAATGTAAAGGAATTGCTGTGACTGCATGTGGTGATTTGTCATCCCAAATTCGGCAGTTTCTGGGTATTCACAGTTCCATTAAAGGTAAAAGTGGGCCTCGTCTTCCCATAAGATTTTCCACGGCCAAGCGTCATCCACCTCCATTCTGGCAAGAAAGGTGAGAGCAAAGTCAATCGCTTGTCATGGTCGGCGTACAGTAACTCCTGTACACGGCTGATCTTGTACGGATAGAGTTGATAATCTTTCATAGATTTTCCATACCGTACTGTAACCATATCCATAGTCCGAGATACTCCACGGCGCTAGAGGTGGCAGCAATATTGTCTGGTCCTCTGTCGACAATCGCCGTGGCAACTGCTTCGATTGTATCCTGTGGTACAGGTTTCGTCCTCTGCCTGACTGACCTTCAGAGAACTGTTTTCTCAAAACGTCGCAACCATTGCTTTTAGCCCATTAACTGACACAGGACCGTTACCTTACGCATTTTTTTGTGCGTTCTAAAAGCATGAAGAGCGGCTGACGCATTGCACTGGTTGAGGTAAAAGAATTTGACCAGTAACGCACGCTCGACTAAAGAAGGAGACATTGCACATAAACTTTCAATCCGATTGATTCGAAACGTAACACATTGCCTTTTAAAACCCAAGCAGCTGGCACTATGCGAATGGATGTAACATGAAATTTGAATGAAGAACTTCTGCTGCTCATCGTACGTGATATTGCAGATCATGAGACTTTATCGGTGTTTATGTAGATTTTACGCTTTTTTAAAAGTGTTGCCATATTGCACTTGAACTAAATCAGAAAATGTGCATAATAAAATTTAATTTTATTCCGTATTAATTTGCATTTGTTAACACTCGCCGATCGATATTTTCTATTACACAGCGCCAAATATTCCTTTAGCGGTGACTTTTGGACTAATTTGTTTTTTCGCGGAATCCTTCGTTCCCCGTCTTGTTTAATCTTCCTACAAAATGTGGCGTCCTTCTCGCAAATAGATCGCGCTACAGAACGCTGTGAGCACTGTCAGTTTAATTATGGCCACCCGGTATTTCCATTTATCTTCCCTTAAACAGTTTTCATACAAATTTCATTGTGCCACATGCCTCGATAAAAGCTGGTGCTCATTTAGTTATTTAGAGTTTTTAATTTGTAAATCTTAGTTTATTATTTTATTTATTGTTGCTACAGGTGTATTTAAATAGCAATTGATTTCTGCATTGGAGATTTTTTATTCTTACCAACCATTTCAATTTAGAAACAGTACGTACCTTTTTCAGGTATTCTTTTGCTCTCTTATAAAGTAATGACTAACAGTTTTTCTCTTTCCGATTAATAATGTTGCTTATTTTGCAATTAGAAATTTTAATACCGAGCATTTCACAGCGCTTTTGAATTATGGAATATGAGTATTTCTCTTCGAAAAGCGCAAAAATATGTTCTTCAATCCACTATTTCGATTCAAACTATTTCTATATCACACTATTTCGATTACATTGAATATTTTTGTTAATGTCCTTTTTTCTGTTTGTTTCTTTCTTTTGTTTGTTATCTTTGTTATTTGTTTGCAGTAGGCATAAGTGCGCAATAGAAACATTCTGTAGCTTTATAGAAATCAATGCGTAGCCTCACATGCATACATTTCAAAAGAAACTTTAGATGGAACTTAAGCGGGAAGCACGTACTTCCCTTAAGCGCACGGGACATTTGTACAACTTTAAATTATCAAGATTAAAGAGGAATTACTGGATCCTTAGTTTAAAGCCCTGCATGGGTTTCCCTCAAAAAAAAAAAAAAAAAAAGTAAATTTTATTCTTTGTTATGCACTTCAAGAAGCATTACGGATTTAGCAAGTTTCATTCGCTTAATATTACACGTAAATAAAACATAATTTGGCGTTAATTTCACTAGGAAAGCCTTGGTGCCTTTTGATATACTTTCACTAATCTACCTTCATACTGTACACTTCTCTGAGCGTTAGTAAACTCGCCTATCGGTAAATATCTGTTAAAAAATACATATTATGTTCTTTATGGAATTGGACTTAAATTGTCGATGCTCGATATACACTAAATATCTTCATTTTAAAATGTTAACATGTTCTTGATAGTCTAAAAAACTGACTTTCGACAAGAAGAACAAGGGAAATTCTCACAACTCACACGCTCTTACAAAATAGAATTCTAATTAACAATTCTAGAAATAGTTTTAAATGCAGTCAGTGTTTTTTTTTTTTTTTTTTTTTTTTTTCCTGACTGGCAGTGTGTAGTATATAAATCAATAAGACTGTAAATATATTTTACTGAAAATGACTGTAGTAAAATTGGGTATTCGATTCTCTAAATAGTCCCTCCTGTATTTTCAAGTAAATAAATAAACACCTTCTTTTAAGTAATTTCTGAATATTTCCGTTTTTAACTTCCTATTTAGCATCGTGAGATGTTTGATTTTGAGCTTCTTTTTGCAATCGACATTTTTTTCCAGCAAAAGCAGCCAACACTGCTGATAGCGAGGCCGCTGGCGTGCTTTACATGAGCGAGTTGCTCTCTCCATTTGCTCACCTGGAGAAGGAACTGGGCAACGCACCTTTCGAGGTCCGGTCCGACAATTCCCAAATCTCGAAAGAAGCTGTCCAGGACAGCATCGCCAGGCTGCTAATGGATGTAGAGGACAGCTTAAGTAGGCACGCCCTCCTCGACTATAGCCTTAAACATACCCTGAAAGAAATTGGAGTGCAGACAGACAACGATCCCATCACGGATGAAGCCCCCGAATACGCTGCCCGTCCCCCACCTTGCAAGAAGCTGGAAATGATCCCGGAAATGAGTGTCTTTGAAGACATTGACAAGCATGCACTGGAGGTAAGAAATTCTTATTCTTTATCCTAAAAATATAAAATGATTTTTTATCAAAGTAAAATATCCTCTCTCTCTCTCTCTCTCTGTATGTATTTAAATTTTTTTTAATATTAAAATCTAAATTTCTTTTTCTGTATTTATAATTTCTGTCTATACGTAGCACTGTAATACCTTAATTTAAGTTGACTCTACTTATAAATTTTATGATTTATAAGATTACTTCTACTTTTTGTTAGCCTTCATTATAATCCAAACAGGCTAAGAGTATTTGAAAGCGGAAGTTTTGAATGTTTTAGCTATAGAGCATTTAACAACGATGCTCGTAGCTTAACTATCTATCGCTCAGCTCTGCCAATTAGTATTCAGGCATTAGCTGTTTGCTCGCCGATTAAAGTTTGAGGCGGCTGAATTAGTCAGATCTCTGGCTAAGATTCCTTTTTAAATCGTAAATTTAATTTTATGTTATTTTAACAAAGCCTCTCATCCAAGATAGTGGTTATTGGCACTCACTGTTATACCGATGGGCCGGGGTCCGAATTTCACTCAAGTGGGGCACTCAAAATACACAGAGAGTCAAAAGTTCTGTAGGGTAGTTGTTGGTAGAGGAAGATGGGGAGACCTTCAGACTGCTCCCTGTGATGTTCTCTCTCAAAACTGGGGAGAAAGCTTAACAGTTGGCTAGGTTCGGCAATATCTCAATTAGCTGTGGTACGTACCACAGAGGTGCTGACCTAGCTTCTACCTTTAACTCTCATTTCAATACCCACAAGTGCCTGAAGTGGAATGTGAATCGTACACACAAGTGGTGCCCAGTGTTAAATTCAATCTTAAAAAAAAAGTTTATTTAAATCCTTCATAAGACTTTGTCGTAGCTATAAACGTGCTTCATACAGCATTTATGTCGCCTGCTCAAATCTGTAAGAAAAGGGATATGAGAACAACATTTTTTTCTCTAGAGTTAGAAGCAGGAGCACACCTCTAAGCTTAATTTAAACTCAGTAACATCGATTTCTGTATCTACTACTAAAGAAAAGAACATTCAACATGAAATAATCAATTAATTTATTGATAAAACTTTAAAAAAAATTAGACAATCTGCCTTTAAAGATTATAAATTTACAGGATCATGTTGCTATCAAATACCGCACTTCGTAATAATTCCGTAAAAACTGCTACCGTAGGTTATTAACCCAAAAGGGCGTTAGCCTGAATGGGTTTGTAGGATTATCCACTGTGTAATTCTAAGTTACAGTTGACAATGAAGAATCTTAAGAACTAATAAGGAAATAATCGCTTGAGTTCGTGTGATAGGAAGCAACAAGATAGAAGGGTAAAATAACTCTTTATTATTCCAATCAAGTGTAACAGAACTGCGTCTTGGAGCTGTACAATAAAGCCGGCATTCGGAATTAAGAAACTAAGAATTAAACTAAACTAATCTTAACTAAAGAGATATAGCCGAAGCTATCAAAATTCCAACAGAGTTGGCCTTTAACGCTAAATTGACTGTGAAGCTATCAAGGGCATAAGGTACGGCCGAGCGTAATTAATAGCTTACGAGAGAGTAGCCTAAAAAGGCGGACGCGTGCAGCCAGAATATCTGGTAGCTCTCTCACTAAGACAGTAGAACTTCGCGGTTAAATACCGCTCTTCCTCATTAGCATTCAGACGTGATTCTAAAACTACGTTCTGGCCGGAAGTGGCAAATTGAAATTAAGAAGTGATAGGAAGGGAAGTTTAACTCAAAATTTAACTGTTAATAAGATTAACATAATCCTTACAGGTTATTAATCTCGAAACAGGATTTTGCGTCCACCATAAACAGCGAATCACTTTTCAAATTGTTGCCACGAAATATTACCTCCCTGTATTACTTCTAAAGAAATTAAATAATGAATTATAATCTATGTATGTGTGTTTCTCGCACTGTGAGATAACGACGATATCTAGAACCATCTAATTTCGAATAACGTAGTCTTTCACCGCAGCTGGAAGCCCGAATTTTGAATTTCGAAATTTTTTTTAATCTATTTCATACTTTGTAAAATTTGAAGGAGTTTTTGATTAACAAACTCAACTATTTCAAAGAAGCAAAAGATAAAAAGGTAAGATAAAGATATTCTTAAAAAAAGATATTCTTAACAACTAGGAAATAATTGCTAAATTTTGTTACGAACCAGACATAAAATCTTCTATGAACTATTTCTGTGCAAATAAAATGGCAAAGCGTGGTTTTTCATAGATCCAAACTTCGATACAGGTTTCGTCCAAACTCCAAAACCATAAAATATTGCTTAACTTCATAACTGCGATGTAAATTACATGCATTTGTGAATATCAATACGTTTTGAAGTATACGCAATTGAAAAACTATCTCATTCTTTCATACTAAACTTTTCATCAAATGCTGATGGATATGATTTTAAGGTAAAAATAATTGGCGTACTTTTTCCTGTATTAATATTTCGTCTGTGGAAATGGTAATCTTTATTTACACAATATTACTACCATACAGACAAACAACAATACAATAAAAAGTATTTAAATATTTACTATTATTTTCATTGATAGTAATTTTTTGATAACGAAATAAAAAAGAATTTTTTCTTGTCCTATGTACAGAATTTTCTTTAAATTCTTACTTTTCAAGCAGTTTATGAGATTATTCTAAATCCACTTCCGCTACGCCTATCTCTCGGTATAACGCCCTTTCTTGTAAGTCGTTTTTAATGATTACAGATTTTTTAAAATATTATTTAAATACGGGTGAGTTTTTCAAAACTAACTTTAAGACAGATGACAATTCGAACTGTTTTATTTACGGTTTAGTGATTAAAACTGTTTCAATAGTGTATTTTTATGTAAGATCAATGGCGTTCGATTCACATTATAAAACTATTTCAGTCATAAACAAAAACACTTTTTCAAATATTTTTTGAAATTTTCTATCCTGCCTAGTTTGTTATGTTTTTCCCATTCAGACTAGTGTCTTACGTTTTTTTCTTATTACAGTCTTCAAGAATCACCTAATTCCATTTTAACAACAATGTTATTTCATTTAGAAGAAGAATAAATTACTCTAGTTGCTTCCAAATTCTGTTTCGTTTTGTTTATAAGTTTATTCCATTCCAAACACTTTTCAGACTGTACTTTTAAAATGTTCACAACGCGTTTTCATTACTTTTACGTTTCATTTTGAGATTAATCACAAGAAAAAGTTTGCTTACACTTCTTTGTTCTTGAAGGCAGAACATACATTAAGCCAAGCAACGGTTACTTTGCAGTTACAAACGGCACTTCTCTACCAATCGGTAAATATTCATTGAATATTTCTTGCTTGAAAGAAACGAAGTGCGTTTAAAGTACAGTGCTTGATTTAACGACCTTTTAAAACTTCAGTTCAAATAAACTGGGTATAACAAACAAACATATAATGAGATCATTGTCATAAGTATTAAAATACTACAACGATCTTAATGTCAGCGTATTTCATTCAAAAGTAACTAATGATGGATACAGAAGTATCCATCATTAGTTATCAAAGATTTTATCAAAGATTATCAAAGATTTTAATAGAGAAGCCTATCAGATCCATCACGTTCAAGGAAACTGAGTTTAAAGTTGATAGATCTGTTTGGTATATAATTTGCATTTAAAAAGGTCTACGTTATGTGAAGTTTTTTACCTTGTACCTTCGTTCTATGCATCTTGTTAAAAAGAACTAATTAATACCGCAGCTGAAAGAGATCTCGATCTAACTGAAATGCATTAGAAGGATGACGCTCAACCAATTTCACTTCACAGACACACAAACTTAACAGTGTCATACATGTCTTAATCGATTCATGGTAAGGTCATTTCATACATTGGCAAAAATGATGAATTCTAGTTTGCTGTAAGTTTATTCATAATGCTGCGTGCGTACGAGCTCGTAATTGAATGAATGCAAACAGAACCGACGATAGCTTGATAAAATTTATTTTTAAACACTTTACAGTTATGGAACTTTCCACCAAAAGTATACTCGTACAGCTATTCCCCGTATCACAGAGTGCAATCAGTAGATACACATCAAAGTTCTAAGAACGTTAAACACAACGCAATACGAATGCATCTAAAGACAAAGCTTTGTGAATACAAAACAAATACTAATATAAAATCTGGCGTATGCTAAATAAAAATGAATTTCTTTTACACTCATTTTAAAATTTTATGATGCTTAAATGAATAATGAGCCAGATCTTTTTTATTCTCTGTAAGAATTAAAAATTTTCCAAGTTATAGATTTTAGCTGCTGACATTATCAGTTTAGTAATTTATTAAAACTGAATTATCAGTTTTGAATAATAAAATTGATAGTTTAATGACATACATAAAACGGATACATAATCAATCTATCAAATATCAGATTTGTCCCGCAACTTAAATAATTTTTTTCTTGTCTAGATAAATATTAAAAAATCTTCTTAGATAGCAGAATGATTTTAACTTTCAAATTTACTATTTTAGGTAAACAGTTCTAATTTAATTTGAACACTCTTTATTAAATCTAAAAATTGAATTTCTTAAGTGGTTCTAAATTCACACTAATATTATTGCAATATATTGCCGTATTAAGCTTTCCATTTTTAGTAATTGAAGTTATTTTAAGATTATCTAACTCTCTTAAAAAGTCCATATTTTAATACTAGAAGCGTTTAAATGTTTATTCTGTTCTCCAGTTACTCTACTGATGTACTTTGGTATGCATTTAATTTCTAATACACAGTTAATTAATAAGTTGGTAATTATGAGCATCTAAAGAATTTTCATAATTAACAAAAAAAAAAAATTCGAACTTCCTTTTATTAATGCCTTGGAATTTTCAGTTCCCTTTTAATCCATTCCTTTTTCACTTATTGTTGCACTGTATTCAAGTTTTCGTGTATGTAAAATTTATATATTTTGTATTGTATTTATGCCAATTTATATTTAAATGATAATTTTTACAAATTCTCGTATCA